TATTTAAATTATGTATATATATATATTGATATACATATTACTTATACATATTGATTCGTACATCTTTAAAATACAATATATTTTATGGTTGTATATAAAATAACGAATAAATTTAATTTTTAAATTATTTGTACCATTATTATAATGTAATAAGATATTAATTGAAGGTATAATTTTTTTTACAAATTAAAAACATTAAAAAATATTGTAAAATATTCTAATAATTATTCTATAAAAATTATAATTAAAATTAATTGTTTGATATTAATATTAAATGATGTTCTGATAATTCAGCGATTTTAAACATAAAATAACAATTGTATGAATTATAAAGTGTTGTATAATTAAAATATGTATATTTTAGATTTTAGAATTGGATCATAAGAATATGTGTACTGAAGCGCCATCTTAATCATACGTTGAGAAATAAAACTAATATATTGTATATCGAAATCTGTTAAATGTAGAATGTGTGTTTATTATTTTGTGTTATGTAAAAGTGGAAGAATAATAATATTTCACTTTTAAAAATAAAATTTTTATAAATAAAATAAGTGAAGTTATTGATGAATTTGAAATTTTTCAATTTTAAATATATTGTGTTTAATAATAATAATCTTTCTATCATAAAAAAAAAAATACAATTTTTTTATAAAACATGTTATTATTAAGATTTATATTTTTCATATTGTTCAAATAATATTTATAAAACTAGTTTCATAATTCGAAATACTACAATTATTATACGTTTAAAGGAGGTAATAAAAAATATAATTTGTATTTAAAGAGCATGTTTCATATTTAAATATATTTTGAAAATTCCACATTCTTTTACATATGGACAAATATTTGTACTTCTAGGAAAATTATTTATTTAGGAAATCTTTTTATGTTATTATTCTCTCTATGATAATTTTGATTTAGAAATTTTGTAATGATTTAATTTACTTTGTTATATATTTTATATTATAATTGATTAATAAATTAATTTTTATTAAAAATACATGCCGTAGCTTTATTCTTTATTCTAGCATAATCAGCATGGCGCAAGAAGCAACTACTAAATTAATTAGAGAAGATTTTGATGCTGGTCCATCAAGCTATGATGAAATTATTCCTAGCTTGTTTCTTGGGAATCTTACAGCCGCTACTGATATCAAGTGGTTAAAAGAAACCAAAATAAATTATATACTCACTGTAGATTCATGTCCACTTCCAAGAAAGATTCAAGAGCTTTTACCAAATTTGATTATAAAATATATTTCAGTTACTGATATGCCACGTGAAGATCTTTTAACTCATTTTGAAGATTCTTATGAATTTATAGATCATGCTCTACAGTTAAACAATAAAATTTTGATACATTGTTATTTTGGTGTCTCTAGATCAGCTACAATTGTTATTGCATATTTAATGAAGAAATATGGAAAAAGTTTCTATGATGCATTTGAAGCTGTAAAAAAAAAAAGGCGTTTTGTTGGACCTAATGCTGGTTTTTTGGCACAATTAAAACTTTATGAAGAAATGTGTTTTGGAATAGATAATACTAATGTACAATTTAAAATGTACAAGTTACAAATTGCAGCAGATAAGGTAAGAAAAGCAAAAATTTTACCACAAAATTGTGCAGAATTAATAAAACCAGATCCAGCTCTTGCTACAGTACATCCAGAGCCAACAGTATATCGTTGTAAAAAATGTCGAAGAATCGTAGCTAGTGCTAGTAATATTTTACCACATATGCCAAAAGAAAAACAAATTTGGAGACATATAAGTTCGAGAAAAACGTCTAAACAATCAAAACCATCGCACGAACTATTAGAACCGTTACAAAAAGAAGAGCAACAATCTGTAGAATTTTGTACCAAAATATTATTTGTGGAACCGCTAGCGTGGATGCCCGACATAACACATAATGTTGAGGGCAAATTAAATTGTCCAAAATGTAATACGAAGTTAGGTTTTTTTAGTTGGATAGCGGGTAGTCAATGTCCATGCGGCAGTAAAATAGCACCTGCATTTTATTTGGTTCCTTCAAAAGTAGATTGGAGTAATGCTGTACAAAATGTACAAGTAACTGTATAGTATTAAAGATATTTCTATAGTTAAAAATTTTGGACGGATGGTTAACATGTAACGATTAATATATAAGAAAAGGTTTTTGAAATCTTTTTATGTGGTTTTAGCTCGATTAGTATTAATAACGATTATACATGTGACCAATATATTTAGAAAATTTATATTCTAATTTTGTGCCAATATTCGTACATTATATGTAAACAAATAATCGTATTCATTTTACGACTGTAATTTTACATGTTTCTTGCCGCAACGAGTAAACAACCCGTTCTTCCACTGTGCGATCTTCATATTTATATATATATATATATATATATTTTTTCTTTTTTCTATGATTAATATACATAATATAATAACTTTGTAGACTAACATACTATTTCCTGTATAGATGTCTTGTATTAAGATGCGATAATACATTTACGATTTTTATTATTTATTAACTATTTCAGTTCTACAAAATAACGTTTCGAGTTATTTCCATTACCCTGTATTTTATTGCTTAAATCCTACTTTTATGCAATTATACTTGATCTATTGGTCCTTTTGCATAATAATATTTTCCAATATTTTTTTTATATTAACTTACAATTACAATATTGGTAAAAACTTTGGTATTTTATAAACTGATGATGCTTGAAATTTGCGAATTAGAAAATGAAATTAAAAAAGAAAGAGAGAGAAAGAGAGAGAGAGATTACATGCTTGCGTGCATGGGAGAATATGAAGTTCCGTATGGATGCGTCCTGAATCGTAATGCATTTAAATTGCTCATCGTGGATCCTCCGTGAATTTCTGCCTGATGATACGAAGGAAGATTAACATTTCCTAAATTACTATTTATAAATCCATGGCAGGTAGATGTTTGCATAGAGGTGTAATGCTGCGACGATCTCCAATACTCGCTATAGGGATATTGCGTCACTTGAGGAGTTTGCAAAATCTCCGAATTATTTTCCTGTGTATGCGTTATTCTGATAGGTCTTAAAGGTAAAGTAGTTTCTACTTCTCTGTTGGTAGAGACACCTCGATTAATAGCAGAACTTCTTTCATTCCGACGAAACTTGGCGCGTCTATTTTGAAACCATACCTAGAATAAAAATTTTTAATTATTTATCAACAAATTTATATTTATAAAAATTATTTCCATTTATTAAGATTGCGTTTATAAAATAGGAGAAATATGAATATAATAGTTAGCGATTCATATCTTGATAATAGAATCAAAGTTTATGCAAATTTTATAGAAAATAGAAGAACAAACATAAGAAGGGACATGGCAAGCAAAAGCTGGATAGCGTGACGACTTCTGGCAACCGTACAGTTCACGGCAGACAGATAAGACGAAGATGAGGAATTTAACAGCAGCAGTTGGATGGATCGACACGAGCAACGAAAAGTCTTTCTGCACAATCGTGTAACAGTCACCAGTCATCACACACGTGCTAGATACGAAACGTATCATACAGCATGCGGTACGTCGTATGCCAAGCACAGATGTCGCTGGAACGACAAAACTATCCTGCCAAGCTAATCATAGCTCCTTGCCCCTGACAACCTGTCTCCTCTGATTTTCTGCTTAGCTATCCTCGGCGACCTCCATCCTCTTTCTTTCTTTTTTCTCTCTTTTACTTCTTTTCTTTTCTGCACCTCTGTCTGCCTGTCTGCCTGCCTGCTTGCCTGCCTTCTTTCTAACGTTAGCCATCATAATCCCAAGAAACATATGTGAACTTGGCCCACCAGCGATACGATACTTTTTCTCTTTTACATATTCATCACGATCTTTCTTCTACTACTACGAAGTAAGTATCATTTTTTTAACATTTCATTTAATTATTGTGACGTTACCTGTACTCTGGCTTCCGATAAAGAGACACGTGTTGCAAGTTCTTCTCGAACAAAAGCGTCTGGATAATGCGTCCTTTCAAACACCCTTTCCAAAGCGGCTAATTGTTCTGCCGAGAATGTTGTTCTACTTCTTCTGGGTCTTCTACATGCAGGTGCCGTAGAAGTTTCATTACATTCTATAAAATACACGTATGTATATTTTTTAGCACAATTACTTCATCCTGTGAAAAAATTCGCGATATCGTGTGAACGAAAATGAAAATTCAATTGAAATATTTCAAGATGCCGCTCACGATAAGGAAGTAACGTTTCCAAAACATAAAAAGCAAAGATGAGAAGCAGTACAGACGTAGCTATTCTTGAATGACTCCACTGTGTTCGAGCGTTCATCAAAGCGGCATAATGCGAACAGCATGACTGGAAACGCGCGATTTCGATAAAATCAAACTCATCGTGGATCATGGATAGAAACGTGGAAATACATAAAACGTGTATATTCCGACTTACGAAACACGCGATTTCAAATTTTATTCAATTTTATTCTTACGTAAATGTTTATATAAAATAATTTGATTGTAAATTTCCAGAATTCTTACCTAAGGAGTTAGTTGGCGTCGATAATAAGCGTGAGACCGTGAAATCTTGTGGTGTATGAGGATTCGTAATCTGTGAAACTATTACGCTGTTGTTTTCTACTTGTTCCGAATTTCCACACAACATTGTTTCGTTTAAAAAATAAATCTCTTTAATAGAGTGGCAACGAACAAGTTTTAATTGAAAAAATGAATTATAAATTTCGTTTTTCATATATAATATATTTTTTACTCTTGAAGTAATTATTCTTTATTACTTTGAGATATCGAAGTAAATACACGATATAGTCATTGAGGTATTTAATAAATCGTAAGATGACATTTCTTATTCTGCACAAATGACGTAGTAATTCAAACTTTACGCCACGTGTTGATCGAATGCTGCTCAACGTATTTGAAATTATTCGGAAAATATTTTACATGTACATTTTGTTAAAAAATATTATAAAATTTGATTTTTTAATATTGTTTTATATATGTTAAATTTGAATTGTTTAATAATCACCATGCGAATATTTCAATTAATAATTAGAATATCGAAGAATTTGATATGATTTTTTTTAATATTAATAATTTTATATACTGTTTACACATCAATGCGATTTTTATTGCGTTGAATTTTTATCTAGTATATCCACGACTAGAATCAAGATTATAATTCGTTTCACTTTTTATAGATCTTGCGAGAAGGGGTAACTTGGATAGAAGTACATGCCCCTTTCTTTTTTCGTATCGAACTTTAACCAAGAATATGGAAAATAGAAAAGACAAAAAAAGAACCGTATTGGCTCAATTATCGTATTATACGAACATCAATTTTCTCTCGTAGGATCGGCGTTTACCTACTTTAAATCGATTCTTTATGCTAACAGCATAGTGTAACGTTTCGTCATTCTTTGTCGACGAGTATGTTTCTTTATAGCTTCATATATCAATCGCTGTTTCGGACGTTTTACGATTTTCTCACGAGTTGCAATGACTATTCTATTTCTATCGTTTCCAAAATATCTTCGGCATAACCGTGATTTGTACAAAATGGCGATACCGTCCAAGAAGATCTCTCTCTCTGTAACAGGCACTCTACGAAGAAGTTCGTTTTAACGGCAAGTTGTAACGTTCTATCTATAATAAGATTTATTTTCAGGGACGTTGTCCTCAAAGGATTGTCTTACATACGAACAAAATTATAAATATACATGTATATATGTATATATGTGTATATATATATATACATGCATCGATCACGCACTATATTGTTAAAACATCTTCGATCAAGTGGCTCCGTTCAAGTTCAAATATTGGTATCATCCGAAACGCGCGTAAATCACAACTAGTCGATCGATTTTGTCGGAAGATCGTTTCGAATACCGTGAAACGAAGCCATCGCATTAGTTGATGCGGCGAGATGCCAACTGACTTGGCCGAGTTAAAACGTACTTGAGGATCCTCCTCAGCCTCTTCATTTGTCTCTCCTCTTCGTTCTTTCCTCCCTCTTGTGTTTCTCTCGCTTTATCTCTCTCTTCGTCTCTTATTTTGCCTCTCGTTCTTCCTTTTACGAAGGGAGACACGCACGCAGGAGAGGAGAGAAATAGAGCATTTCAAGAGTAGGTGGAGATTTCCTTGGCAAGCTCCACCTTCATTAGATCCTCATTGGTTTCTAAACGATAGCACGGCGGCTTTCTGCTGTTTTCTAGATACAACCCTTCACGGGTAAAAGAATTTAGGCGTGCGTGGTCATTCAAAAAATTTGATTATCATCCATTTTATTTCCATAAGATGACTTGTTGACATTTGTGTTGATACTCTTTTTAGAAAATCGAAAAACGAATTTTCTTTCTTCTTACATCGAATTTAATAGATATTTGCGATTTATTTCGAAAAGAAAAAGTCATTCTGGATATTTTCAAATGATTCTCCTTTGTTAAGCTATGCATTCTTTGAAACAATTGAATTTTGTAGAAGAGCTGCTATTGTATTACTCTTTTTATTGAAATATATTTTTTTCTAGGCTTTTAACTAAAATATAATTAGAAAATTTTTTCTATTTATCTAGTATTTAATAATGTTTTTTCTATTTTCAAAAATAAAAAAAAAAAATAAAAAATGTCAAAAATAAAATGACGATAGATCTATGAACTATTCTATAAAACCATTTCCAAAATTATTTTGAAAGATGGATAAGATATTGACATACTTTTATAACTTGCCAATAGAAGCATTGAAGGCCGCAATACTGGAATATTAAAATAAATATTCAATAATAATTTATGATTCGCAAACTTCGTTTGTCAAATCTCGTTTGTAATTTTTCAATTATTGTTTTATTTTTCTTTCTTCAAAAAAAGAATTTTAATTAGATTTCATGTTAGATTCATTTCAAGAGTTAAACACGAGATATATTTATTTTGATTTATAAGAAATGGATAAATGAGAGGCGCCGGCGTTACGGTGGTTTCGATTTTCAGGGACACGCTAAACCACGGTTCTTTATGTCCCGGAACATTGGTCTTCTTCATAGTTGCGGCTTGACTCTCGTTACACAAGGGTGTCGAGTAACGATTTCGCCCTAACCATGAGCTCTCTTTCTCTTCCTCTCGTATATTCCGAATATACTTTCTTTTATTTTCTTCGAAAATATAACGGATACGCGTTAACAATTTCTCAATTCGAGTTAATTAAAATCACGATGCTTCAATATTTTAATATTGAAAAATGTCAAAAACGATCCTTAAATTTTCAGAAAAATAAAAACATATTTTAAGAATATATTTGAATTTTTCGATTTCAATTTTCAGATAAGAAAAATATCGATAAACCATTATTTTTTTTTTTAAGCCAATTTTAAGTCTCGTTACATAATCTGAATTCTTTCCAAGTTTTAACGATGTCCGACGGCAACCGCGTTAAAAAATAGTTATATAATTCGTGAAACGAATCAAAATGCTCGAAATATTAGATACTTGAAATTCTAATCGATAAAAAAGGAAAGAATTTAAAAAAAAAGAATGGACAAAGATTTATCAAGAAAAAAAAAATTATTCGAAAATTAATCGAAAGAACAAGATTATATTTGTGCATACAAGATGTTGATATATTTTTAATATTCTTTGGACGATAGATTTTAGAGATGAAAACAAATACAAAAATTAGTATGAAGAATTATCGATTATTATTTATTATATACATATTTATTTTTTTTTTCATCCCATTTCATCGAATGCGAATTTAAACTATTTACAATTTAATAAATAAATCTCAATCGAAATTTCCGTGTGTATCAACTTTTATGTTTGTTTTGCCCTCCAAATATACGAATGTATATCTATTCCATCGTAGAATCATCCCCGGCTCTCAGCAAACAATTATATTCCCGGCGATTTTATTTATACGAGGCTTTTACGAGCGCAGTCACTCTTACTGTCAACTGTGTTGGCTCAATAAAACGCGGCCATGCATCCGTTTCCTCGCTGCCCACTTTCGACATTCGCTTGAAACCGAATTTTTCTCGAAATAAAGTACTTGCATGCGTGTATTAAAGATTTTTCAAAGATTCGCACGTCTTCTCGCGAAATTTTTATCACGAATCATTAATAAATTCCATTTAAATTAAAGCTTAAAATGATGTTATTTATTTAATTTTCTTGTATTATAATTTTATCTCTTCTACTCGTTAATTTCTTTCGAACAAATTTTCAGAAGGAATTATTAATCAAAATACGAATTACTATTATCTATCTCTAATTTTTCATCAATCAATTACTACAATTAACTCTTAATAACTATAAAATCGATAAATATATACCTTTTCGCAAATAATTTTATCTTACCAATAATTTTAATTATCTTCTAATTGATGCTGTCCAATAATCGAGAGAAGACACATTAACCTCTTAAGCTCTAATTAAAAACACCGAACCGCTGAATGAATTTCTTTAAGTGAAAACAAAAAAAGAAAAGGGGAGGGGGAACGAAGGAATTTCTCAAGTCTGGAGAACGGCAATAAAATAGCCGGATAGTTCGTTTTTGGTGTTCCAGTCGCTATGAGACGGACGGGTGCGTCGCGACGTGGTGACACGTACACGTCGTACGTCGCGCACCGCCCAACGAAAATTATGAGCCGAGTCTGGACACTCTCCACCGTGTCTTTGTCGTCCTCTTTATCTTGTAACCGAGACACGGTGCCCTTCCACGCTCGCCTTTGTTCTCTCTCTCTCTCTCTTTTGCTCTTTTATTTTTCCTCGCGCGCGCGAGACTGAGAGGAGTTTACGGATTCGCGAAAGAATTTTCGCAAGATCCGTTCTTTTCTGTCGCATCTTCTTAAGCGTCGCGCGGCGATAAATGAATCCTCTTAAGAAGATTCTTTCTTCTTTGGCAATGAAAATGTTTTGCATTGCAATGGGAATGATACTGATGTTTTTCTCCCCTCTCGTGATTTTCGAGCAAAATATTTGAATATTTATTTAGAAATTGTCGTGATTACATTGAAAGAAATGTGAAATTACACTACATTTATGTAAAATATAAATTTTAAACTGTTTATTATAAATTTTTTAGTAATAAATATATTATCATATAGAAAGAGATGCATTAAAAAAAAAATAAGTATAGGATAAGTATGCTTGAAAGAATTAAATTGAGTATGAATTTTAAAACTTTTAAAAATAATGATTAATATATTAAATAAGTATTGAAATTTTTGTAACGTGTTACACGTGTATTTATGAGATATCAATATTTTCATCAAAGTATCAGACAGATACCAACACGAAACGATTACTTTTATATAAATATTAATCCATCAATAAGAAATCGATTCTTTTTAATATCTGTGCCCTTGATACACGAATATTGAATTAAAATTTGATATAAATAAAATCGATATTATTACTAATATACGTTAGTTTAAAAGTAAAAACTAACAACTCGATTCACTTTTATTATAAATGCGTTATTTTTTGTTATAATTGTTATTTATAATAATTTGTTATAATTTTTTATTATAAATTATCGTTTTATATAAATGCGTTAATTTTAGGAGATCGTGAGAGATCTCGGCATGCGTCACCACTGATCAATGTCCGACGTGTAACGCGGAGGGTTCACCGAAATCACAGATGCAGTTTTGACCACCGTGACAGTGATCGTTGCTTGACAACTCTCGAAATAGTTTCCATATGTATTCTTTGGAGAAAGTTCTAGTCCTCGCATATTTTTTCGTAAATCTCCATATTTTTGATTGCTCTTTTTTTTTTTTTTCTCGTTTTCTTATTGATCGTACGATAATTCCTCTGTGAATATTCATAAATTTCTTGTTATCATATATCATACACATATGCATCTAAATATTTCGATTACGATGATAATATAAATTTCATTTTCCATTATGCACGATCATATACGTTTTGCAATTTTACTTTTTCGACTGATGTTTCTGTGCTTTTCACAATTTCTGTGCTTTTAATTTATTTCACGTATCTTATGTT